TGCTATATAGGATATTTTGGAAAACGGAACCGATTCCTCAAAAATAAAAACGTTTACGTGTAGGCACGTCCCATTTTGGTCAATTAATGATAAGGATCGATTAGAAATATTTTGCACAGGTTGATTTCAAATGGCATCAAGATACAACTGGATTACAGCAAAGCATCCAATGTGCCACCAGTCAGACGGTAGGCGGGAACAGAAACTTACAGTTTCCATATGGAGTACCTGCCTCACAGGGGATGATCGAGACCACGGACAATTCAACAGTAGTTGAGACGAACTTCATAGGCAGTCGATTCGGCTGCCTTGTTATGTGCTTCGAGTTCGTTCCGAGGCTGTTTCTACACCATGCGGGCTAGAAAGAAAAACCGGTATTTTGAGGTTAGCAACGGTGATTTCCGATTTATGACAGAGAATGCTCGATGCGCTTAGGTAATGCAAAAGTCCATTTATACGTGCCTCACTTGTATGGGTTCAAACTTTGTGGCAAACACATCATGGCCAATTGAAACGAAGTAACCCAAATTCTGTCGTACTTTCGCAGTTCTTTTTGGGTCTCTTTTATCACTCAAATGTGTACCGACAAACGCCAATACCAAGTACTAGAATAAATTCTTTGTATATCCAAGGGAAACGACAGCATGAAAGAAGATTCTGTCTCGGTGGTAAATTGATTTTAGAACAGAGAAAAATTACATGATGCTCAGCTCCAATGTCCGCTTAGTAGAATGAAAACAGTCAGTACACTATATCTGTCGTATTAAGCAGCAAATGTGCGTGGGTGGAAACCATTTTCCTCGGGGCAAAATGTCTTTTGAGGTCACCGTCGAGGTGTCCACTTGCAACAGCAGTATGTTACAATTGCTTAATGTTTAAAACGCTTCAATCGTTTTGTGTTTGCAGTGGGACTAGCGGAATATAATGCGGTTTGTTTTGTACAAAATCAATTTGAAACAATGTGTACACTAAGAGACCTGTGCATAGGGATTTATTAACTACACACCATTGGATCAGACGTAAAATTGTATTCGCGTGGCCCAATACCAGGAAACCTGGTTTCGGTGAAACGAAGTAATAATGGTAGGCATGAAATGATGACCAAATACGAATTACGTATCAAAAATCACGGACGCAATGTAAGCACTGAGTCGCACTGGTACTAGCGCGACAGTATCCCACGTAACTCAGACACTAGGAAAATGTCACAGGAATAGCAGTTCCTTTATTGAGAGACATTATAGGGTTTAAATAATAAACACAAAACAAGTTCATTGGTCATCGAAGCCTCGGGCAATCGCGCGCTAGTACTTCTGGCATTGTTCGGCTTTTGTCTGACTCACACGTCTTCTGATTGATAGGTACATTTGGCCTGTGGCTCTTAGTCCAGATGCTGTGACACGTACGCGCTTTGCTGACGTAACCCGGGAAGCTAGATTGATCAGAGTGGTCCGAAAACTGTAACGTGTGTCGCCCCGTGGTATGCGTCATCTCGTAGGCTAGGATCACCACATAAAGTCAATTGTTCCAACCATAATCCGTGAGGAGTGACTTTCTGTATTATGACACTGTAATTGAGTTGTATAGCTATCAATGGACGTGCAGTTGATTCGTTTCTAGACAATGGTCCTCGCATTTCTCTATCACACGTGCAAGTTCGATGTGAGATAAAGTCTTCTGATGTTTCTATACAGGCATTAATCCAACTCATGTGACACCCCTTCTCGAGTCAGATTTATTCTCCTCCAAATACTCCGCGTATCCATATGCATTTACGGAAACACACATGGTATTATTTTAGCATATCATGACCAAATGATATTACGATTGTATCGATAAAGCGATGCATCATGTGCTGTTTTTAATGTGAATGTTACAATGTTAATAACACAGTGATTTCGGTAAAGAAGTGTATTCGCTGACGTTTCGGTTACTGTGCGCAAGATCAAACTGTATCTACAAAATCAGTTGTAAAGAATGACCCGCAGGATACTTTGGGCAGATCAGTAGACAACTTAAGACAAGGATAACCGAATATAAGAGAAAAGAAAACACCGGTCCACGGACAAAGTAGCTCTGGCAAAACTATAGAAACAGACTCGGCGATCGCTCTTCACGCCATAGCCAAAGGTCACACCATAAACTAAGATAGCCCTGAAATACTGCAACTCGGATTTCCAATATGCACTGAACGCTTGTGGGCCGAAGCATTGAGCATTATCAAACACTCTGCGTGAGTCAACAGGAACGACCGAATCGAGATCCCGAGTATTTGGACTACGCCTACCTTGAAAACGGATAAGCATCACAAAAGTCACGGTGCCACTTGATCCCATCTGATAATGGCAGTTCGTATGGCAGACAACATATGCATTTAAAAAACACAGGTGAGAATAAAATTATTAGTAAAGTCGGCACCAGTCAATCAAAATTTGTCAATGGGACTCAGAGACAACCACGAGGGACCAAATCAAGTGGATTTTCTTCGAGGCAGAGAGTGAGCTGAGCATCGACTGAGGCTTCACCTGGTGTCCCTCTTTTCTTGA